TTTTTCTTAATATTTATCTACTTTAAATATTTATATAGTTAAAAGAATTTGTGTTTATAAAAGTGAGAACTGAAATGTTAATGATTAATCATTCGCACTTGGCGTAAACCTCTTTATATCATTACTTTTGTAGAGAGTACAAAATTAAATAGCTATAGCTCAAAATTAATATTTTTGTAAAAACTTGTAAAATATTTTTTAACAGGATTTGTTTGTTATATATTTTTTTTGTAAAGATTCTTTGCATAACAGTTTTTTTAAGTAACAATTTTTATCCTTTGTATTTTTTTTGTAAATAGCCAACTGTTATACAATTTTTGTTCAGTTGCTTCTTTAATATTTTTTGTAATGACAATTTTTCTGAGTAACAACTTTTTAGTATAATTATTTTAAAATGTTTTCTTTTATTGTATTTTTAAGTAAAGTATTTTCAAATGTACAATTGATCGAGCAAAAAGATTGTTTAAATAATAATTTTTAAAATATGTTTTAGCTGTTTTTTAGTTTTTACAATCTACACTAAAAGTAAATATATCAACAATTGCAATATCGTATTTGACTGGATTGTGTATCAAATATATTTGATTATATATTTAAATAAGATTTAATTAAATGCTATCTACTTATTTCAGTGAACTAAATTAAAGAAAGGTGTTCTTAAATTGCATTTATTTGCAAGGTATATTAAATATATTAAAAGCAATATCTACTTGGTTATGGTGGTATAAATAAATAAATAAATATAAATTTATTTATATTATCATTATGTGGTACTCATGATATGTAAACATACTAATATAAAAAAATTCATAGATTTCAAGTTACTTATATTGTCTTATAAATATATGTTATAACAAATAAATATGTCAAAAAAATGAAAGTGAATACATATCTTTTCCTACGAACTATTTTAAAACTTTGTAATTTAGCTTTAACATCATAGGGTGTTTTCTAATTGCACATTTTGACACAAAACTAGTGCTTTATTATCTAAAATATCTTGTAAGATATAATATATAACCAATAAATTGGTTTTGTGTAACGCACAAAACATAACTGGAAAGTACCCATAGTAAATCCAATACACGTCCAGAAATAGGTCCAGAAATGGCCTTATTTCGGACATTTTATGGATGTCCAAAGTTGTGTCAAACGTACATCCTATGGACATGAAACGAATCTATTTTGGACCTTTATTGGACGTCCGATGTCCAGAAACGGATGTCCGATGGACGTCCATCGAATGTCTATGTACTATCTGGGCATTGATGTTATTTAAAAAGCACTGACTTTTCAACAGTTTATTCTATTGGCATTGTTTTATAATAGTACGAATGAGGCTGCGTTCGGAAACACACATCGTGTGCACACTACTACACGATAGCCGTTGGAGTGAGCGAAATACAAGAGTGAGATAAAAAGAGAGGGAGAAGACTCGAGTGACATTTCCGAACGCTGCCTAATACCACTGCTTTAGGTAAAGCCTGGGAGCGCGCGAACGTCTCAACATCACAGGCGGGCTTTTACATACCGCTAGCATTTATTGTTTATTTTTCAGCAACTACAAAAAAGATATCGATGCCATTAAAAAAGCATCGACTTTTCTACAGTTTATTGTATTGGAATTAGAGATTTATAATTAGAAATTAGAAATTAAAAGATATTGATTTCATTAAAAAAACATTGACTTTTCTAAGCGCTTTTCTTCTATGCTTTACTTAACGCATCTGTATTAATATTACATTTAAAAACCTCTAATTCCAATAGAATGAACTTTGGAAAAAATCAGTATTTTTTTAATCATATCGATATCTCTTTTGTAGTTGACGAAAAATAAACAATAAATGCTAATAGCGTGTGAGCCTGATTGCGACATAGAAACGTATGGGCGCTCTCACGCTTTACCTAAAGTAATAGTATTATTCGTACGATTATAAATCGCTAATTACAATACAATAAAATATGGAAATTTCAGTTCTTTTTTAATGACATCGACATCTTTTATAGTTGTCGACAAATAAGCAATAAATGCTAGCGGCAAAGCCTGCCTGCAAAGTCAAGACGTACGAACGTTTTCACGCTTTACTTAATGCACCAGTATTAATTGTACAATTATAAACCTCTATATTGAAATTAATGTTTTTTATAATAATACAATTTATGTGAGTAAGTTAAATAAGACGTGGAAGTGCGTGTACGTACCAACATCCCGGTCAAGCTATTTAATGCCGCTAGCAATTATTGTTTATTTCTTGGCAACAACAACAGATCATTCAAAAAGCACTGACTTTTCGACAGCTTATTCTATTAGAATTAGATGTTTATAATGGTACAATTAATACCAGTGTGTTAAATAAAGTGTGGAATCGCGCGTACGTCTCGACTTTGCGGTCAGCCCAAATAACACAGAGAATTCAAAAAGAATTCAGTCATATGTCACCAATTTTGAGTTCATTTTCAGATGCAAAAAAGTTTTTCAAAATTCAGTTTAGTGAAAAAAATTCTTTTCGCGTATAGAAATGAACTTAGAATTGGTGACATACTATTGAATTCTTTCTGAATTCTCTGTGCTATTTGGCAGGCTTTTACGTGTCCCTATAATTTATTGCTTCTTTCTCAATAAAAGTACAAAAAATACTGATCATTAAAAAAGCATTAACTTCTCTACACTTGATCATTAAAAAAGCACTTGATCATTAAAAATACTGATCATTAAAAAAACATTAACTTCTCTACACTTGATTTCGTTGCAATTAGCTGTTTATATTAATGTGATTAATACGGGTGTATATCAGTTGGACACGGGGCAATTGGACACAGTCCAATCACAAGTCGCTGTTCCAAGGGACCCTACAAATGTCTCTAATCACACGGTGCTGTGATTGGCTGTGTCCAAATACACCGTGTCCAAGTGCACCGCTTCCGATTAATACAGGTGCGTTAAATAAGGCGTGGAAGCGCCCGTATATTTCGATGTCGCCAATTCACTTTTTTGCAGCAGCTTGAATTTTCTATTTATTTTTCTGTAATCATTGTACGTATTGATGTTATTCGAAAAGCTGTATTTTCTTTATACTGGATTCTGTTGAAAATAGCGGTTTATAATAATATGATTAATACCAGTGCTTTAACCCTTCGTTAGGCGCAGTATCCAATAGATACGCGTTCGTGTTATAACACGTCGTCGTTACTACAAGATTGCAAGTTCGAACTTGTTCTTCTAAATATGCTTCTAGCTCGATCCCCTCCATTCCTTAGTAGTGTCCGAACCCGGCTAGAGGGCGCATGTATAACGTTGTGACGCATCGAAATCTGTGAGATACATTGCGACTATCCACGTAAGTTTTCATTATTTACAATTTTACGTAATGTAGTCTCTTACACTTAGTAATGTCAAATAAATCTGTATTGATTTTGGTTTTATCAAAATTATTTTTGTAAGCCTAAAGAAGCCATATGTATCTGAAAGATACATTGCGACTATTGGTGTAAGTTTCTTCATTTTTTTTCACAGGCTTTTTTTCATATATAAGGTTTGTAAAATGGAGTTTACGTCAAACACTACATGTGATATGGATGACGAAAGCGATGTTCAAAAATTTCATGAGTTATTAAGAGCACAAGACTCCGATAATAAAGATGACATCTGTGAAGACGATACCGACACTGACGCCAGTGAGAACTTCGAGAAACGTAGATGATTCGGAAACCGAACAGGATGACATTTCATCTAACACGGATGACGACGAATATGAAGATAACGAATATTTTATGGCATATAAAAGAAAAAACCGTAAAGTAATAGATTTTTGGAAATGGAAGAAAACGTCTTTCATCAAAAGAAAAAAGGTATCTCGTAATATTTTGGTTAAACTCCCAGGAGTAGTGGGAAAAGCTAAAAGCCTGAAAAAAGTTATGGAGACTTGGTCATACCTAATTGACAACGGAATTATCAATGACATTGTAAAATTCACTAATCAATATATCGTCAATTTACAAGGCGAATTTAGCAAAGAAAGAGACGTTCGGATAACAGACGAGGTCGAGATTAGAGGATTCATTGGTCTGTTATACCTTCTTGGAATTTATCATGCCAGTAGACTAAACTTAAATGAAATCTGGGATAGCAACGGAGGTGGAATTGAAAAATTTCGTATGACAATGAGCCAAAAAAGATTCCAATTCTTGATGCATAGTTTACGGTTTGACGATAGAGATTCAAGATCCGAAAGAAGATCTGTTGCACCTGTGCGAACAATTTTCGAAAAATTCGTTGAAAATTGCCAACAGAATTATTCTTTGGGAGCCAATGTCACAATTGACGAGATGTTGGTGGGATTCCCAGGAAGATGCAGCTTTAAGCAGTATATTCCTTCAAAACCGAAAAAGTATGGTATCAAGATTTTTAGTATGATAGACGCGAAGCTGTTCTATATATATAATATGGAAATATATGCTGGTAAAGCACAAGACACTCAGTAATAAGGCAGTAGACGTAGTAAAACGTCTGGTTACACCGATTTATAACACCGGTAGAAATGTGAAAATGGACAATTGGTTTTGTGATTTCACTTTACTAAAAGAATTAGATGAAAAACAACTATCAGTCGTTGGTACATCTAAAGCTCAAATTCCTATTGCGTTTAAAATCACTAATAATTGCCCAGCTTACTCTAGTCTTTTTGGCTTTCGAAGAGAAGGAACACTTTTATCTTACGTTCCCAGGAAAGGAAGAAATGTAATTTTGTTGTCTAGTTTGCATGATGATGACGAAATTAATCCCGAAAATGTAGAAAAAATGAAGCCAAGTATTATTACATTTTATAATAAAACCAAGGCAAGTGTCGACATAGTTGACCAGATGAGTGAAACTAATAATGTAGCCCGAAATACGAAACGTTGGCCGATGGCTGTATTCTTTGCAATACTGAATATCGCAGGGATAAATTCACGAGTTCTTTTTATAGGCAACGGTAATGTGTGGATATCTCGAAGAAAATTTTTGCGCACATTATCGAACGAACTAACTCATGATCTCATTATTCGTCGAGGTACTTCTTTTCTTGGAATACCTATCAATATCCAAGAGAAAAAAAAGCGATATAAAGATAATATAAAAACATATAACGACAATGTTTCTGAAACAGCCACTGAAACTAAAACAATCAAAACAGAAGAAGATACGGGAACATCAAGGAAACGAAAGCGCTGTCAAGTATGCCAAAGCCAGAAGAAAACAAGACTAACCCAGTACAAATGTGATATTTGTAATAAAGCACTTTGCTTAGAACATTTGCGAGGGCTTTGTGATACTTGTAAAGATATTATTTTATCTTAACTATAAATACGTCATAAACATATTTAATTTTTTAGCCAATTTTTATGTCAAGATTTAATTTCTAAGTTGGTATATTTTATTATCAGAATATTTACAAAACAGTGTTTTTTTTTAATTTAAAGATTTGCGTTTGAAAACTTCGATACTTTCTTGTGAAGATACTATCTTATCTTAACTGTAGACATGTTATCAAAATGTTTAATTTCTGAACCAATTTTCAAGTTAAGACGTAATTTCTAAGTCGATTTGTTTTACTGTTAGAATATTGACAGAAAGATGTTGTGTTCAGTTTTGAAGATTTATATTAAAAGACTGATTAATATATATATGAAAAATTAAAAGAAATATTTAAAATAAAAATAAGTGGTACCTTTTTACTCATTTTAAGCCATTATACTAACCCTTCATCTGTTTTAATCCAGTTTTTCTTAATAAAAGTTTTAATCACTATCCTAGTACTTTTCAACGTGTTTTTCACTATTGTGTTGCACCTTAATGTCTGCTCTATTAGTACTGTACTAATGAAAGAAAAACTATTTCAAGAAACAGAGTATGATAAAAGAAAAATTTATGTATCTTTGAGATACAGTGTGACCATTTACGGGAGAAACCTATTGCGCCTAACGAAGGGTTAAGTAAAGCATGGAAAAGCGCGAACGTTTCGATGTCGCAATCAGACTTTTACATACTACCACCATTTATTTCTTATTTCTCGGCAACCACAATATATAGATATTGGTCATTTTAAAGGCACTAACTTTTCCACAGTTTATTGCAATTAGCTGTTTATATCAATACGATTAATATTGATGCATTAAGTAAAGTGTGGAAGGACACGCATATTTTTACGTCGCGATAAGGCTTTTACATACCGCCATCATTTATTGCTTATTTCTCGACAACAAAAAATATCGATGTCATTCAAAAAGCACTAACTTCTCCACAGTTTCTTCTATTGGAATTAGTGGTGTAGAATGATTAATTCGTATTCATTAAGTAAGGCAATAGAAAAGCACGTATATTTAATCGTCGAGGCAAGACTCTTATATGCCGCTTGCATTTATTGCTTATTATTCGACAACCACAAAAATGTCGATATCATTCGAAAAGTACTAACTTCTCCACAATTTATTCTGTTGAAATAGCGGTTCAAGTCATATATTTATAATGGAGAAAACGTGATTAATACCAAATGTTTATGATATAACCCACTGGGCAAAAAGTTATCAAAAATATCTCTAAAAGATATCTAAATGTGGAATCGGATAACATGAAGAGACTTCAAAAAGCTGTCGAAACGATAACAAAATGTTATCTAATGCGCCGTTTTTTGAAGACAGAAAGGTATCACAGAAAAATGTCAAAATGATTTCTCAAAAAGAGGTATTTTTAAGATATCTCAGGTATCAACATATTAAAATTTCATTTATGATGTCAAAATAATTCCTTAAAATAGTGGTAATTATAAAGCAGAGGAGCCTCCTCACTGATTTGCACGATCTTCGTCAGATCGTGTATTTTGATACGTAGAACACGATTCTGCAAGAAAAAGTGTCGCTCTCAAGCAGGTTAAAAGTTATGAAGTGTCGACAATGCGCTGACAGATTTTCTAACCCCACACCCAGTGAAAAATGACTTATTGATCGATGTCGAAAAGACGTCGAATCGACATCGAAATCGTCAAATAGAGATCGATTCGACGTCTTTTCGACGTCGATCGATGAGTCATTTCTCACTGGACATCGCATTATCGACAAAATAGATTTCCTAACCCATAACACAAGTGTCATTTTTCAACATTTCATAACTTTTAATCGGTTTAAGAGCGACACTTCTTTTTTGCAGGTTTAAGTTCTACGCATCAAAATAATACGAACTGACAAAGTTTCATGCAAATCGGTGAAGAGGCACGAATACTAGTGCACGGATCGCGCGGACGCAAGACAGGAATGTTGGGTCAAGCAACCTGTACTAAAGTGCACTTAGATTACAGTTTTCGTTGTATCTGCATTTATTAAACTTTGCCTCATAAATATAACATTTGTTCACCAAACAATTTTTTAAGTCTTTCTTGCATTATTACAAGGGTATTACAGAACCCGATTTGGTTGAATAAATTAATATATAGTCTCATGCTGCCTCGTGCACTGAATATTTATTCAAATAATTTGTTCAATATTTATTTCGATCTTTTGACACAATTTACAGGATATTTTTAAGAAATTTCTCAAACAGGAGAACTTCATGAGCTCTTTTAGATGTCTCTGGAACATGATGATTATTCGATATTCATTTAGACATTATTTCCGAAATACCAAAATATGTTCCTAAAAAAGTTATTTTTCAGTTCTCATCCTCACAATATTAAATTGATATCATTTGACATGATATTACAAAGAGAACATTTTCAAGAAATCTCTCAAACAGGATAACTTCTAAAGCTTCAAGAGCTCTTTCAGTAGATGTTTCACCCTTATAGAAATATCATACTAAGAATCATTGATAATCATTTATTTTCAGTATTAAAAATACTGGATAATAAGTAATTATCAATGATTCTTAGTATGATATTTCTATAAGGGCGGAATATAATGATTATTAGATATCATTTAGATATCATTTCCGAGATATCAAAAGTTCCCTTTCTGACAAGCGTGTTGACTGGGAAATTATATACTCTGTATGTCATATTTTAAAATATTTAAACTTATATACGTATATCTTGTGATTTATATTGTACACAATTATAAAAATATTGAATAAAATTTGCAAACAAATAATATATATCTATGCGTAATTTTATAGTGTCGCGAAAATAGTTGATCTCTTATAAATTTCTGATACATACATACTACTACGTAATATTTAAAATGTTTTTTATAAAAAATGTTTTTTTAATATATGGATCAGTTAGTCAATATTCTCAAACAAACGTCCAAATTTATATACACTGAGAAAAAAATTTTCTTAATTGTAATAAATACATTTGTTTAAATTTGATTAGCTTTATTTAAGTAAATAATATTTTGAATGTAAAACCTTTTTATTTAATTAAAGAAAATGGAAATAAAATTAGCAAGCGACATTTTGTTGAACTGTTTATTTGAATTACATAGTTTACTTGAACACAGGTTTTATAAAATGCAAAGCAGGTTTGTTGAAATGTAGGAAATGAATTCTTAAAATACTGAATACAAATTTCTTAAATCTAAAAATGATGTATTAGTAAATATTTGTTTCGATTTAACTTTTCAGAGTTTTACAAATAATAAATGGAAAGTTAAAAAAAAATATTATTATTTGTGTCATTTATTATATTTAAGGAAATCTTTATTTAAATGAAGGTAATATATAAATTTTATTCAAATATACGTCTCTTGAAATATAATAAACTCTAAAAAATATATATTTTATTTTAAACACATCATTTATTATCTTTGAAATTTTAAAAGTTCTAATTTAGACAAGTGTTTGCTAAAATTTCTTTTTTCACAGTTAAGAAATTCAAACGATACAAAATTAAAAAAGGGCAAATAAGAGTTGACGCCAGTGACTGCCAGCGAAATTAATTATATATTCATACAATGAACAAATATAGCTCGTATACGTTTCGGTCCCAATTTTGGACTCTCTTCAGTACAAAATACCATTTAAAAATTACAGTTAAAATCCGTCAAATCACAGAAACCACTAGATAGTAAACGACTGTTATCTTAAAATTGAGGTAGATAATATAAGTTCCAAATTATAGAAAATTAGAAATGTCAAATGCTTACTGTAACGTCCGGATCTATTTTAGAACATTAATAATATATTATTATAGACCGGGAGGCCGACTTGTCTGATTTCAGACATCACTAGATATTTTATCCCTACGTTACTAGATGTAAGTACGCGCGCATATGCATATTCGCGAGCGTTAAAACATTATAATTAAAATGCCGAATGCTGCGTGCTGCTGGAGAGTCTCGAAATCAACGGATCGATCCAAAGAAACCGCTATCGCTCAGTGCGATAAGCCAACATAAACAGGAGCATGAAAACTGAATCCTAAACACCACTCAGGACACCGACGCGGTGACATCATGCAAAGGAATGAATCTCTTCCCTCGCCATAACTCCATGGACCAATCGGAGAACGATTCTCAGCGACAAAGCGACATATAAAAGCGCGCGCATTTGTAGAGAAGGCAATAATTATTTTCTTCTCATAGTTAGTCTCTGGTAGCTTCGTGTACTTATTCAGCATATTATACTTAGTCGTAAAATCCGACTGTGTTGCAATTACTTTTGCCTACCCTTCATATTTCAAACATTGCGAAATCAAATTCTGAATCGCGGGCCGCATCAACCCGCGTGGTATCGGAACTTCCGAGGCCGAGCCAGGAGAACAAGCACCGCTGATTTTCCGCCAGATTCATCAATCGTTTCGCCAGGCTCCCGAGACCCAGGGTAAACTCGGTGAAAAGCAGAGTGACCCAAAAGCGGAGTCATCACTCTGTTGACCGTCCACGTAAGTCACTGATTTCACTACTTTCAAATTTCCCTATATAGTTATTTATCGTGGACGTAACACTTACCAAGCAGTCGAAAATAAATAGAACGGCGTCAACAGATTTAACGGATGTATACTCGTGGTCTAAAAGGTTTGTGCACTGATTTTTTACAGATTTCGGAACGCGTCCCAACTTCAGGAGAGAGACAACCACTACTTGACACGCCAGCGCCGCCACTTATTACGAGAGCAAAAGGATAATATATACGAGGTGCGTTCGGGAAGACGCTATTCGTGCTATTTTGCGCTACAGGCTGTTTGGGGAGCTAGGTAGTAGCGCTACCAAACGCTATCATGACGTCACTAACGATAGCGGTGACGTCATAACTGCTACCAAAGCTATTTCTTCCAAGGTAGTGTGATGATAGTGTTTGCGTTGGTAGCGTTTTCAAGCTCCGTGAACATTCAAAGTGCCAAATTATTATGGCTGCGTTCCGAAACTCACTGTCAGTACTTGCAGTACTGCAAAGTCGTTCTGAAATACGTCGCAGTAAGCTTTCAATGTACTTTCGTTAACACGTGACGTCATATATTTTGACGTAATTTCCTGCTTTCGTTACTGCGGCTGGCGAGGTAAGACACCAGCAGTGAAAAAATGGCGGCGCTTCTGTGATGAGACGTTAAGCCTCATATGTTCAGAAAGTAATAAAATATATAATGTAACAGTTAGTCGTGAAGATGCTGAAAAAGCACGTACAGGTATAAGTTTGTAATAATCAATAATTATTTTACTTTTATAATTATTTTATTTTTATTTTATTTTGTTTATTTAATTTAGGATTTAATAATTTAAATAAGAATTGAAAAGTACTTCGTTTAAGTCTGAAACAATAAATTCCATTTTCTTGATATTACTTTTTTTTTTTAATAATCAATGGCACATTTTATCATATTTCTTTTACATGCGTTTGATGTACATTAGGTAAAAATTGTATATTGTTTTCTGTACCGAAAGTGCATTTGAAATTCCTCGTCTGTATACAATGGTATAACACTTTCAACATAGTCCTTGCAACGAAAACGTGGAGTCAAATTTCTATTAAGAGTCCTTAAAAATATATCATCTTCTTCGCTATCTGAAGAACTTTCAGAAGATTCTATTACATATTTTACAACTTTTGTTAAAATCACAATCTCCATATCACGCTATGTTTGATCCATAATTATCTATGAAACTTGTTTATCTTAACCTCCACAATACTGAATATTTCTACTGCGAGTCCGTTCCGTTATTGATTGCATTACAAGCTGAAAAGCAGCATCAGTAATTACGGAACGGATCCGCAGTTCTACTTTATGACGTCATACTTTCAGTACTGGCAGTTAATTTCGGAACGCAGCCTATAGTGTTGAACGACGCCGGTTTTGAGAATTGCACACACATAATGGACAGCACAGAAATAAATTCGGGATGCCGAAACTGGAGAAGAATATAAATTACGTCTCTCACCGACGAGTGCATATAAAGCACAAACTGGTAACTCTTTTTTATAAAACAACCCATTTGAATACTAATTAAAGATAGGTTAGGTTCTGATTATTGGAGTATTTAGTTATCTAAATTAATTAAATTATTTCATAAGTTTACAGAGTTATTTTTATTTCTACCATGCAATATATATATATGTGTGTGTGTGTGTGTGTGTGTGTGTGTGTAATTTCTTACTCTTATTTATATATATTAATGTGTCTAATGCCACTTGATTTTGCTTCTTATTGCAATGTTGCTTTAAGTTTTAAATTTATGATTTTCACCTTCTTTGCACATTCGCTTCCACCTATTTATTCTGCAATTGTTAATGCATACATGTAATGCTATTGTTATTTAAACTGCAGATTTAACTTTCGCTATAACTCTTTTGAATGTAGCACGTCAAGCCCGTGATCAAAATAATGACGCATATATAATGACGCATTTATAAGTTCTTGCACTTTTCGTGCTAATAATAGACCTGTTCTTTGTAGCTGCACTGCTGAACTGGTGCAATATATTGAAGTGAAACAAATATAAGTTTTCTCACTCTAACTTATTGCACTAGTTCAGCAGTGCAGCTATAAAGAACAGGCCTATTATAATCAGTTCTTTTTTATTTACCATTTCTTATATTTAAGTATCCCACACTTGATGGATGTCTAACCTTATTCGTACTGATACGTACTGAAATAGACGATACCACAAAACACCACAGCATGCAAACGCTATACTATTGCTGTTCATGGAGCTCACTAACGCTGTCGCACTATTTGCTCTACGAACAGTTTTAGTGACGTTCGCTTTGGTAGCGTTAATAGCGTCTCCCCGAACGCACCCACGGTATATGCCATCCTTCTGCTCTCGTAATAAGTGGCGGCGCTGGCGTGTCAAGTAGTGGTTGTCTCTCTCCTGAAGTTGGGACATGTTCCGAAATCTACAAAAAATCGGTGTACAAATCTTTTAGACTACGAGTGTATACAATGTAAGGTAGTCGCAAATAGAAGGCAATATTAAAATAGATATTTGTTCAGAAGAGCTACCTCACCTCCGATTTTAATAAAAGAAGGCTCAATCGACGCGTTTGTGCATGCCAAATAATTTTTTCCTCTGACAAAATCGTCGCTCTCTACTGCGAAGCGAAATATTAATAGACAAAGTTGAGGGCATGTTAGGTTAGAAAATCTGTCATACCATCTATCTCTAGCTATGTAACTGAGAGGCTTCGCCCCCCAGACCTCCCTATCACGGGGGGTGGGGGCTACAGTCTTTTGTGAGAAATTCACTCTAGCTTAAGTACAAGAGACTATAGGCTGCGTTCAGAAGACACAACTGTTGTACAACTGTTGAGTGAGCGCTTACTGAACAGAGATATGTCTCCTGAACGACCATTTATTGGATAATGCAATATGTGCATGCGCGAAGTGTAGAGCGAGAATATAACCTTTTTCTTGTGATAAATTTAAGCCGTAAGCAAAGAATCAGTAATGGATCGATATAATGCAATAATTCTGGCATTATTAGAGGATGATATTGTACACAGAAATGTAGTAGGCTATTTAGCAGAGGAATTGCAAGAACAGTTACCAAATGGTTTCCATATTCAAGAACGTGGTGTTCGTAATAAAAATAGAAATTATTATGAAGTAATAATTCCATTATACAATGACATCGTTTTTAAGGAACATTTTAGAATGTCTACAAGAGCTATAGAAGTATGTAAATCTATTACTATTTTATAATCTATTACTATTTTATAATCTATTTACTAAGAAGAGTGAAATTAATGAGACGAAGAGAGAGAGTTAAATTAGATATAATTTAATATTTGTTATAAATATTGATATAGGAGTTAGCAATTATGATTGGCAATGTCATGGCAAATCCAAATCATGTAGCGCCATTAAGAAAAAAAATCCTATTCACCA